CTCCAGAACTGTGTCTCTCCCCAGATGCTGTCAGACCTGCTGAATTTCCCCTGCACTTGCTTTTTTATTGTTTCTGGTTTCTAGCATCTGCAGTATTTTGCCTTTAATCCTCTTTCGTTTCAGGTTTGCAGATCTAAATTTTCAGAGCTGCCACTGCTTTTTAATGTTTTGTCAGGTTTCTTTCAGGTTATTTGTTGGTGGTTGTTGAAATCAGTTCAATGATGTAAAGTACTTTTCTTCATGTTGGTGTCCAGCACTGCAAAACTCTGCAAGCTGTGTTTTAATGTCTTATTGATATAAGGGCATCAATGGCTTTTGCTTTGCATTAGTGGCTCCTTTGTAGCTTAGAGTGGTTTATGGTGCTCAGTTCATTGAGAGATGTGTTGTAGTTTCTTTAGCTTTTGGTGGTATTGACAAGCTGTTCCATTCCTAATAACCATCCAATTTCCCTTCCTGGTTCCCATGTTAGCTGATAATGTTAACCCGCACTCTTCAATGTTGTTACCTTCTCCTTCGGATCTGTCGCCATACACACGATAATCTGTGTGTCCTTGTTTGCTATGATCTGCCTGTACTGCTCGCAAAACAACCCTGATAGAAGTTTATAAGATCGTCAATGGCATGGATAGAGTGGAAAGTGTGAGGTTTTTTCCCCAGAGTGGAGGAGTCAATTACTAGGGGGCGCAGGTTCAAGGTGCGAGGGGGGAAGTTTAAAAGAGATGTGCGAGACAAGTATTTTACACAAAGGGTGGTGAGTGCCTGGAACACGCTGCCAGAGGAGATGGATGAAGGAGACACAATAGCAGCATTCAAGAAGCACCTGAACGAATACATGAACAGGAAGGGAGTAGAGGGATATAAGTGAAGACAGTTTTAGTATGGAAGGGCAAAATGTGTCAGCGCAGGCCCCCAAAGGGCCTGTTCCTGTGCTGTATTGTTCTTTTTTCACTTGAGTACATGACTACAATAAATCAAATTAAATCAAAACTCAAACCCTTCCCTCTTTCCAATCTCTTGCCCCCTCTGCAACCTCCCTTCTTCCTCCAAAGTGTTTGAACATATTGCCACTTTTTCAATCTCTCCCCATCTTTCCTGGAACTCCATACCTGAATCTCTCTATGCAGGCTTCCAGCCTTGTCACAGTACTGAAAGGGTTCCGATCAACTGACAAGTGATGGAAGTAAACTATTGCCGATCCCATTCTCATCTTGGTTGCAGCCTCAGAAACCTCTGACCAAACTTTTCCCTTTCAACAGCTTTCTGACGTTAACCAGGTGAATAGTGTTGCACTCGACCATTTGCAATCTTATTTAATTATCACTGGAAAATTCCATCAATGTTTTCTCTTCCAGTCCCCACATTGTTAGCTCTGCAAAAGATCTAACCTTAGCCCCTCATTTGATGAATTTATATCTCCTGTATACAATCCCTTGTAAAACACATTTATATTCATAGCCCCACATTAAAGTTAACCCTAATAACCTCCTGTAACTGTGAAACAGTCAAACCCCCACCTCAGTGATAATGAAAGGTTGTGGAATCAGTCCAGCACTTTCTAACAGCACCTAGAAACATCTATTGAAACGGCAAGCACAGATTCTTTCAGCTTGCTTTTTTTAAAATTCAAAATTTAAAGGGTATGGGATTAAATTGATCAAATTTAATTGATCAACTGACAAATTGACAGTTCCACAGACCTTTCCAACCTATATGAACATTCCTATTTACTTTAGAAATTCCTACTTCTCATTAAAGATACAATGAGAAATGGTGCTGGGACTTGAGGATCTGGGTTCCTGGTGCCATTTTGGATAAGCAGTTGTGTTTCCATGACACTGCAAGAGCCTAAGCTAATGTTTCAGGTCAGTAACCCTTTGTCAGAACTAATAAAAACAACAATTCTGAAAATATATTATTGGCTGGAAACAGGTTTCCTTGTTTCAATTTTAGATTTTTAGTATTCACAATACGTAGCTCCTGTGGCAATGTTAATATTTGGTTGAAAGTATTTTGTCATCCAGGGTCATTTGAGGGTCAGTAGGTGCTCTGCACTATATGCACCATAAACTATTTCCACCCATTTGTTTAAAAAGGTCTTTCAAGGCCTATGTAAGTAAAATAAAGTTATAAGGTCTGAACAGGGCATGTGCAAGATTGTACTGAGCATAAAATGTTGTCTTATCCTCTCGAAATATTAAAATGCTTAAATTACTCAGTTCATCAATCAGTTTACTGTAGAAGAATTTATCAAATTTATTGAACAATGTAGGTATTTAACTGCTTTGATTTGAAGTAAACTGCTAGCTGAAAGAGGCAAGGAGGGTCATCAGAATATAATAATGCGATGAGGTAGCTGTCATCGTCTTTCACAAAATCTGATTGTTCATGCTGATGAAGGTGCAGGATTTTACCATTGGGGAAATGAAAGTCTTTTGTTCCCCATTTTTACACACATTTTCCATTTTATTAATTCCATTATTCATAGCATAGACACAATTTACAGATATGTTAGCACCCCTAAATGATGTGTTTTAATCCCAATATCAGAATTGCAAATATTAATTAAAAGAATGTGGCATTACAATTTCACCATAGTCATCTTTGTGGCCTGCCTAAAATATCGTCTTTACAGAGGGATAAGTCTGGTGTCAGAAAAGTGATTCTTTTTTTCTACAAACATTAGTAACCAGAATAATTAAAACCAAGTTAAGACAATTGGTTCATTTCTCCTTTTAAAGAATATATTGAGGTGTTGCTAGAAAACTCTTGAGTTACATGTTTGAAGTGCATTTATATTTTTCTGTACAAAATGGACATTTCAAAACCACAAAGTCACAAATGAAAAATGATATAAGAATATGAATTTTGTCCAAATTTTATTTTGTACTAAGATTATATGCAAGTAGTAAGTTATACATCTGTTTATTTCTTCATGTTTGTACAATACCTATTGTGAATTATTGCACACTTTTGTGCAGATTAGTTTATAGTCTGGCAAGAATCAGGACTGTAGACTTGAAACTGGAACAGAATTATGGCTGGTTGGGAATGAATAATAAGGCTGTAATTTTGTCACCGTTTTAGGTGACAAGCCGTGAAAGCAAAACTCAAATTGTTTATGGGTGTCATCTGAATACGAAGGTTCAATCAAAGCCTCACTTTCTATCATCTATATTATTTTTATCAGATATTTTATGCTAATAAAATAGAAACTGCGGCACGATGGTGGCTGAGGTTCATGCTGGAATTCACAAGCAGTGATATGAAACTGAATAAATTCCAAATCTAGGGTTGAATAGGAAGCATGAAGAGCATAATACTAGTGTACGATGGTTTACATAGCACATTTTGTCATAGAATAAATTCATCGAAAACAATCCATTTTCCTCTCTACGTTTTTCTGGTATGATTTGCAAAAATGAGGCTTGTTAATTCGGAATAGTTCAGTGAATGTGACTCTAGAATCTGACCTCTCTAAACTCCTGATATTTTAACTGGCCTTAACAATGCTCCAAACAGAATAAACTGTCGCTATTCTCTGACTGCAATTCCCTTCCTGACAGTGATTCCCACCTATTTCAGAGTTTCTTCTGCTAAAAACCCTATGCAGGTTTTTCAGCTTGTCTTTTGCAATGGCATCTGTACCCTATTTAAACAAATGCCCAGTTATTAGAGAAATGCAATGACGTGAAAAGTTAAAAGAATTTTCGTGGTAGCAAATGAAGAAATGTGAACTACTATTTTGCTTTTTCCAGTCCTGTCTTACAAGGCTTGCTGTTGGGAATTTACAGGAAAATAATTTTTATAACACTTCATTCTGATCAATCAAGAGTGACATTTAATCTCACAACCTGCCACATAAATTTGTTCATATTTGTTCTGAAACTATGCTGTTGCACAAAATAAAATCAAATTAAGTAATAGACAACTCATCAGAAATACAGCAGTGAAGCTTCTGATTGTTTTGACTATAAATGGATTTGTTGAAATGACACCACAATTGGAGATCATTCCAGTCATGCAACTCCCCACTACTATTTGCCTGTATTTTCCTAGCCTTCTTTTTCAAATACTCATCCAGTTCCTTTGTCAGTAATCATTTATTACAATTGAACTTCAATGAGTAATTTTAACCCGAATCTTTCCAATGATAACATTATTTTTATGGCTGTGTAGGCAACTGCTTTGAACACTCTTACACTATTTTTCCTATCAAAATGTTTAACCATTATGATAGCCTCTGTTATACCCTCTACTCATCTTTGTCTGTTTCAGTTAGGGAAAAATGTCAAAATTTTCAAGTCTATCTTTGCAACTAGAATGTTTCATTTCTGAAATATTAAAATATGTAAACAGGAGCAAAGCTAGATGGCAAAGATCAGGATTGTGATGTACATTTCCAATGATAACAGCATTTTTATGTATTGGTTACTTGATTGAGAAGAAATATTCTTGGTATTGCTTCTGGCTCAGGATACAGTGAACTGATAACTGGCATCTTCTGAGGTGGAGGCACACAGGCAAAGGTCACAGAGAAGAGTCATAGAGCATGGAAACAGACCCTTCGGTCAACAAATCCATGCCAAACATAATCCCAAACTAAGCTAGTCCCACCTGTCTGCAATTGGCATGTAGTTGTCTTTTAGATGTTGTAACTGTACCTGCATTCACATTTTCTCTGAAAGTTTATTCCACACATGAACCACTCTGCGTAAAAAAACTTGCCCCTCATAACTTTTTTAAATCTTTCTTCTCTCAGATTAAAAATATGCCAGCAGTCTTCAAATTCCCCATGCTAGGGAAAAGACACCTGCCATTCACCTTATCTATACCTCTCATTATTTTATAAATCTCTATAAAGTCACCCGTCAACCTCCTAAGCTCCAGTGAAAAAGTCCCAGCCTATCCATCCTCTCCTTATAACGCAAACCCTCCATCTCCCAGCAACATCCTGGTAAATCACTGGTCGGTATTTGTGGACTTATAATGATCATTCACTGTTTTCACAAGAAGCATTTTATTGCACAATTGTCCATGTTATTTCCCCTTCACTTGTTCAATAGCACCAACTCTTAAGCACTCTGCCTCTACAGGCAGCGTTACAGGACAAAATTTGGCATTGGACATTAAGTTAATAAACACTCCACTCACACACACACACGCACACTGATTTACATTTCAAACAAGAAATACACATTTTGAAAGTACAATATAGTGAAAAATACAGAGAACTTTTGTTAGTTTCCAGTATGAAGTATGAGAATCTCCTCTGCACATGCATCTTCAAAAGATGTAATATGTGCAATATACTTTTAGACTGTACTGATTATACATATATATTTGACTTTTCTATAATCAATTTTCTAAAATATGTTTCCTTTGTTGCATAATCAGAATTTATATAAATAAGAGCAGGAGTGCAACAATCCTGACTATTAAATAAAAATAGCTTAATCTGATAGGCATTTACAGAGACAATCACCATAATTATTTATAGAACAAACAAAGCACACCACACGTCTTCACCCTGTAAGAAAATTCCAAAATACAGCCAGGATTATGACTGCACCAGAGCTCTTTCCAGGGCTATATTTTACATCCTATTGCTATGATAAATGGTACAAGAATACTTCTAGTAAGAATCACATGTGAAACAGTTATAGACTCGTATTCTCCAACTACACCACATATTTTTTAGCACAACAGCTTTGTAATTTACATAAAAATAAATGACCAAAAAGAAACTTTTCTGTTCAACTTGATTCAAATGGTATGGTTAACAAAGTTAGTTAATTCTCTACTTTTTATAATTATGTTACCACAATATCACAAAACACGTTCTTCAATAAACAAAATACATTATCTTCTTGTGTTGCATAAATGATACAGAAATGAGTTGTATGTTTTGGATTAAATTGCATTACTGATTATCATCAAAATGTATTTGGCAGACCAATCTATCCTGGAGTGATGTGCAGCATATATATATAATATATATATAGTATTTTTTCTATTTTTCATGGTAAAAACATTATAGTAGAGCTAATTCTACAACTTTACAAGCTTGTAATTTCTTCAGACATAATGCACGAACAGTAGCAAGTTGATGTTTCATCAGATTGCATACAGCTTCTAAATAGATAAAGACCGATAACAGTATGCTATTCTTTTGCATAGAGAAATGGCCATTTATGTATTTCACAGTCCAACTAGAGCATGAGGGCTTTAATGGCATAACTTCCTTCCATTTTGAACATTCTGTGTTAGATTTCCCATGAAGCTTTGCTTGGCTTTGGTGTTGCACTTAACACACAGCTCCTTCATCTCTTTAAAACTCTTTTCCACAGCTTTTGCAAACATGGTAGAAGAGGTCTCCTTACAATCAATGAAACAAGAAATGCAGAAGATGATATGGTCCAAGTGTGGATTATAGGAAGCACCATAGCCATCTGGAACCACAGGCCCATAAAACAGAAAGGCCTCCGTTGTAGTTGGTACCTGTGGAGTAATGGAATACTTAATGATCTTGAGCTATGAACTTGATTGGGTATATAGCCACTTTAAATTTACCTGTTCCACTTTGCTGAGATATGGGTATGTCTTAAGTGTTTCACATTCTCTTTTTAAATGACAGTCTTTTGTCTGTACCTACACAACTGTACGTATATAACTGTGACATTATCTGAAAAATGCTGCTATAGCAAATATCCAACGTGTCATAGATTTACTTTCTAAGATATTGCTGCTAATATTTTTCATAGTTTTAAATAGTCAATAATACACTTTGTAATGCAACCTTTGCCCATACTTGTCTAAAACCCTCAGATCTTGACTAATTTCAGAATCTAGGCAGATATAGGCTGGTCAAAGCTTTGATGGGAGACCACCAGGGTGTACCAAGCTCTCTACTTCTGGGGACTTTATCAACTTCTACTCAACACAATCCTGAGTGGAAACACTGTGAGGAGATTTGAGGTCTGTCACTCCTTGGCATAGGCTATGGATATCTCATCTGCAATTGTTTATTTGAATTGGCTAAATGAAAATATAAATTAATGAATCTTGGTATAATAGTGAGTAGACACTGACCTGGCTGGTGGAGAGGGTAAAATGGTTACTTATCAAGTATGTTTCATCAGTGAATAGTTTAGGTAAATCCATTTGCAGTTCCTTTGCCATCTCCCGCAGTCCAAGTAAATGATTGTCAATTGCCATCCCAGTAATAGCCTAGAACATAGCCCAAAATGGGAAAATAAACTAAATTAATATTATCTGATATAAACTGTAGCCTTGTGGCACTCATTTCTTAGGAGTGACACAGCTGCTACGTAAACAAAATGGTGGGCCAGAAATGTGCACCATACTTCTGTTCAAAAATACAATAACCATTACTTTCAATGCACACAAACAAAGTGTATCCTTCAGCCACACCTCATGCAATATACATTGTGTAAATGAGAGGCCAGCATGTCTTGGGATCCATGAGGCAGGAAACCAGCCTTATTTAATACCTACAACAATAATAAGCTATATTATTTCACCTTGATTGTGGAACTGGGTGGAAAGTGGGCACACCCAAATTCCTAGGGTTTTCTAGTAATGAAGGATTACAGAATGTTACCCATCAGAGTATATTTGCATTTTCTCATTTAGTGCCATGATCTCTCATTACTGAAATGGTGGGTTACCACAATATTACAAAACAAGTTCTGCAATGAGCAAAATACATCACCTTCTCTTCAGGGGAGCAAGATTTTAGTAAATGCCAGTGGCAAATTTTGACCAGCTGCCAAGAAACAAATGAGATTGGCAGTGTGAAAAGTGTATTCTTCTCCCATCCCATCTGTGCGGGAACATCTGACCCCCCACCAACTCACTCCCAATGCACTCCTACCAATTCATAACACAGACTGCATTTTACTACTTTCTGAAATGTCTTTTATAAAATACTTGAAGGAATTTACTGTGTTCTCAAATATTATTAAATAATTTGAAAATGAAATGGCTCCACAGTGTTTTACAATGTGGACTGTACTAAAGATTATTGCTGCCAAAAGTCAAATGTTGGACGCAGCATAGACATTGCAGCTGAATAGCGTAAAACCTAGTATTTTATGACAAGAAAACGGGTTATTCTACTGAACTGCAGTAACCTCAAAGGGCTGAAGTGTGAAGGTACATTGGTTTCAATAGAGAATCCAACTATCACTCCTTGACATTCATTGGCATCGCCATCACTGAATCCCCCATTATCAACATTTTGGGGGTTACTGTTGACCAGAAGCTGAACTGGACCAGCCATGTAAATACTGTGGCTACAACAGGTTGGGAGTTCTGCAATTAGTAACTCACACCTGACTCCCCAAAGTCTGTTTACCATCTACAGACACAATTCAGGGGTGTGGTGGAATACTCCCCATTTCCCTGGGTGAGTGCAGCTCCAAAAACACTCAAGAAGCTTGACACCATTCAGGAGAAAGCAGTAAGTAACTTCCCATGTATTCACATAATATTCCATCTGCCATGTCTTGTCCAATCACTTAACCTGTCTAGTCCACTTGAAGCTTCCTTGCATCTTCTTTAAAACTTACATTCTCACCCAGCTTTGTGTCACTAGTAAATTTGGAAATATTACTTTTAGTTCTTGTATCATTTATATACATTTTGAACTGCTGCAGCCTTAGCATTGATGCCTGTGGTGCCCCACTAGAAATAGCCTGTCATCCTGAGAATGATCCATTTATTTCTATTCCCAGCTCTCTGTCTGTTAACCAATTATTAATCCAGACTAGTATGTTTCCAGCAATCACGTGTTCTAATTTTGTTTACTAACCCGTGTGGGACCCTTTCAAAAGATCTTCTGAAAGTAAAAGTACAGCACTTCCATTGGTTTTCCTTTTCTTATGCTAGGAGTAACATCCTCAAAAAACTCCAATAATTTGTCAAACATGATTCCCCTTCAAAAATCCATGTACAAATAACTAAGTAAATCTTTGCCTAATTCTACCATTATTTTCTAAGTGTCATGTTATCACATCCTTCAGAATAGATTCCAACATTTTCCCTACCGCTGATGTCAAACTTACAGGCCTCTAGTTCTCCACTTTCCCTCTCCCTCCCTTTTTATATAATGGAGTTACATTTGCCAGTTTTCAGACTACAGAAACCTTTCCAGTATCTACAGAATTTTAAAAGATAATCAACAATGCATCCACTATTCTACAGAGTCCTTGAGGTGTCTGAGGACTGCTAACGTCCATGACAAGCTTCCTGGCTTTGTGTCTGTGCTAAATGGTACAGGTAGGCAGCAGCACTGTGAAATAAACAGAAGTCATTGAAGAAACTCAGCAGGTCTAGCAACACCTATGGAGACAAAGCAAATTTAATGTTTTGAGTCTAGTAACGCTCCTTCCCATTCTGAAGAAGGATCACTAGACTTGAAATGTTAACTCTGCTTTCTATGCACAGATGCTGGCAGACCTGCTGAGTTTCTCCAGCAATTTCTAATTTAATATCTCTTATTGGTCATTTTCATTCACCTTTCCCATTGAGTGTTTGTCCGTTGGAAGGAATGCATATCTGTTATCATACATTGCATCTTTAAATATTAGCCATTGCCTGTCTACCAGCAAATCATTTAGTGTATTTCCTAATCTACCATAATCAACTTTCTCCAGGCAGCTTCATAGGTTCCCTTGTTCAGATTTAAGACTGGCTTCGGAATGTAAACTATATCACATTCAAACTTAATGTTAACATCTATAAAATTATGATTGCTATTTCCTAAATGCTCCTTTACAACAAAATTATTAATTAACTATTTTTCATTACATAATAGTAAATCTAAAGATCCCAATTCCTGCTTGGTTCTTCAATGAACTGCTACAGAAAACATCCCAGGAATTTATCTTCCACAACATTAATGATCATTACCTTTATTCATTCTGTATGTAACTTGAAATTGCCCATTTATACTGTATTACTCATGGGGTATGCATTTTCAAATTCCTGATTTGTATCATGCTCAACATTACTACTACTGTTTGGTCATCTGTAATAGTTCCCATTAATGTGTGCTGCTCCTCGCTGTTCCGAAGCTCCACTCAAACTGAGTTTACATCTTGACCTTTTGATCTAAGATCTTCTGACATGAATTTATTTATCTCATTATTTATTAAGAGTTATCCCACCTCCTTTACCTTTTTATTTATCCTTCCTAAATGATGAATACCTTTGGATAGTCAGATCCTAATCTCGGTCACCCTGTTGCAATATCACTATAATGGCAACTTAATCATACCCATTTACTTTGATTTGTGCCTTCAAAACATCTGTCTGGCTGCAACTGCTGTGTGTATTGAGATACAATCCCTTTAATTCTGTTTTTTTTTAACATTATGCTGTTTTCTGAGTTTTTTAATACATTTGCTTCATCTGTCTCTTGTTTACCATCGCTTTACTTCCATCACGGTTCTGTCAATGCAACGGTTAAGAAAGCAAAACAATGCCTGTACTTCCTCAGGAGGCTAAGGCAATTCAACGTGTCTACAAAGACTCTTACCAATTTTTATAGATGCACCGTAAAAAGCATCCTATCTGGTGTGCTATGGCAACTGCTGTTCCCAAGACCGCAAGAAACTACAGAGTCGTGAACACAGCCTAGTACGTCACAAAAGCCAGCTTTCTGTCGATTAACTCTGTCTATACTTCCTGCAGCCTCAGGAAAGCAACTTATAGAATCAAAGATGTCTCCCATCCCAGTTATACCTCTTCTATCAGGCAAAAGATATAAATGTTTGAATACACGTATGAACAGATTCATGAACAGCTTCTTCGCTGCTGCTATCAGACTTTTGAACGGATCTCTCAAATGTTAATGTTGATCTCTCTCTTTGCACCTTCTCTGTTGCTGTAACACTGTATTCTGCACTCTGTTCTGCTACCTGATGCATTTTGTATGGTACAATCTGCTTGTACAGCATGCAATACAACATTTTTCACTGTATTTTGGTACATGTGACAATAATAAATCAAATCAAAGTCATATATGAATGATAGATTTCATCACCCCATGTGATTTGACAAACCTTTAGTTTGCAAACACTATTTTGTGAATGTGTACCCCCTTTAATTTTCAATTTCAGTGATTTGAAGGGGAACAGATCAGTGCATTTTTTCAAAACATTCAGTTATCTATTTTATAATTACATTAAAACTGGTCATCTTAGTTGTACTGTTATTCAGTTTAAAAAAGTGAATGTCACAGTGACTTAAATCATAGTTGATTAAAAGAAACCACATTTTCTGTCCCTAAATTAAATCTACTTTATGATAGATTACATCACAGAGAATGATCCTGGTGAGTCTTATTAGATTGGAACATCACAGTGCAGTGAGTACATTTATACTGAGTCATGAAGCTGCAATTTTAAAATATGGATCTTTTTTCCTTGTCTTGAGATAATAAATTACACAATCTTTACTTTTCTGTTGCAGAACAGTATGAAACTGGAAGATTTATTGAATAACTTAATGAAAATAGCAGATGCTGTAAGTGCATTCTGTTACCAAGGGCACCACTTACTGCTTCACTTTTAATGTAAGTAATTAATTAATTAGCCCGTAAATGTTGGAATCAATAAAACGTTTACTTTGCTAGCACAGCATTTGAAATGGAAATTATTTTCACTTACCAAGATAGTGTAATTGGTCTGTGCATTGATTGCTTCCCAGAGAAGCTCCATCTTCTTTGAGTCCTAATATTAGAAGTCAAGTATCACACATTAGGTAATTCATATTGTACAGGCGTGTCTAATAACTGGTCATTTAGACGCACACACACCCATTCACTTGTATGCTTGCACTCTTACATCAAATCCCTCCACCTATCACCCCTATGGTTGTTGACGCAGTTGGCTCCAGTTAAGCAAGGCCTCCACTTTAAAACTGCCATCCTGGGTTCAAATCTGGCCATGGCAGATGGTGAATTTTGAATTCAATAAAAATCTGGAATTTAGATCCTAATGATGACTATGAAGCCATTGTTGGAAAAACGCATTTGGTTCACTAATGTCCTTCAGGGAAGGAAACTGCTGTCCTTACCCAGTCTGGCATATCTGAGACTCCAAGCCCACAGCAATGTGGTTGACTCTCATCTGGCTTCTAGGCAATTAGGGATGGGCATTAAATGTTGGCCTTGCCAGTGACGCCCACATGTCATGAATGAATTAATTTTTTTTTAAATCCGCATGCTGCACTGATCTCCTGACTTTTCAAACACGTATTTTCTTCATAAAATTTGTGGTACATAACAAAATATTTGGGCTTGAAAATTACGGAAAGTGCAATAAAATTCAACTTGCCCCCAAACTCATACTGAGCCATGAAGCTGCCACTCCTGTGTGCCTTGATAGGATAGCAATAATCCTAAATCATGTGTGTAAAGCACACTCCCTGAGGACAAAATACTTCAAATCGAAAGTTACAGAAGCTGCAATAAGTTTTTTTCCATGCACTGTGTTTCACTCTGAGGTGCCAGAATACAGTTACAATACTGTTGCAGTTCACAATGTACATTCAACATCAGACACATAGCCTGAGGGGTTTCCAGCCTCTCAGTCCACTCTGGCTGAAAGGCCATAGACAGCACCCCAATTTTAGTTACTTTCTCACTGTCGGCTCTCCTTGCCTAGGTTCCAAATTCTGGATTCCATTCTTAAACCTCTCCAACTTTAAGATGTTCCTTAAAATTTATCTCTTTATGCAAACTTTGGGTAATTTGCTCAAAATTACCCTTAAGTGGCTTGCTGTCAAATCTTGCATTGTACTGCTCCAGCAAAATACCTTGGGACATTTATTACTGTTAGAGGTGCATGCATACAAATTATTCATTTATCAGTATACACACGTGGATGCATCCCGTTAATCATTCAGCTTTACATTTGCATGTGCTCATTCAATGCATCTCTCACTTACATTCAGATCCACCACATATTCATTTATACCCCTTAAGGTAACAAATACTTCATCAGAAATGTGAAAAAGACAGCTAAGGATAAATATAAAACTAAAATCAGAAAAGACAGGGCATAGTAGAAAACCAAGTCCTAGATAGCTGAAAGAAAGAATTATAAGAGGTGTGTCTGACAGGCATGCACCATCTTAGATTATCCAGCACATTGTTTTAGACTTACACAAGCAGTGCTTTAAACTACTACGCTGCCAATACAAAGGACAAAAGAATCCAAGAGGATTAAATTACAACTAGCACCAAAGTATAGAAGAAATATTCATTTCATGTAGAAGGGTCAGTGAGAGCGAGGACCAGGGGGCTGCCGGGAAGGTAAGTTAATCGTTTAAAAGCTTACCTCGTGGGATCAGCGGCCTACATTTTTGCAGCAGTGGCGGGAGCAGTGAGAGCGAGGACCAGGGGGCTTCCAGGAAGGTAAGTTAATCCTTTAAAAACTTACCTCGTGAATAGGCGGAGCGCACGCTGAGCAGGAGCAGACACGGGACGGCTGAGTAAGTGAGGTAATATATTTGGGCTGTTGCTTTACCCGAAACACTACTTTGGTAATGTCTCCCACCCATCCTCCTCCTCTGACCAAAAAAAAAGGTTCTGAGCGCTGATTTGGTAAGGTTACTAGTTTTTTTTTTCGGAATTCAGAACAGTGGGAATGGATGTTAGGGCAGTTGCATGCTCCTCCTGTAGAATGTGGGGTCACCACTAGTGTCCCCACTGACTTCATTTGCGGGAAGTGCACCCAACTCCAGCTCCTCGGAAACCGCGTTAGGGAACTGGAGCTGGAGCTGGATGAACTTCGGATCATTTGGGAGGCTGAGGGTGTAATTGAGAGGAGTTACAGGGAGGTAGTCACACCTCAGGTACAAGGTAGATGGGTTACAGTCAGGAGACAGAAAGGGAACAGGCAGACAGTGTAGGGATCCCCTGTGGCCGTTCCCTTCAAAAACAAGTATACCGTTTTGGATACTGTTGGGGGTGACGACTTACCAGGGGTAAGCCATGGGGTACAGGTCTCTGGCACAGAGTCTGTCCCTGTTGCTCGGAAGGGAAGGGGAGAGAGAAGGAGAGCATTACTCATTGGGGACTCCATAGTTAGGGGGACAGATAGGAGATTCTGTGGGAACGAGAGAGATTCGCAGTTGGTGTGTTGCCTCCCAGGTGCCAGGGTCCGTGATGTTTCGGCTCGTATTTTCGGGATCCTTAAGGGGGAGGGGGAGCAGCCCCAAGTCGTGGTCCACATAGGCACCAACGACATAGGCAGGAAAAGGGATGGGGATGTAAGGCAGAAATTCAAGGAGCTAGGGTGGAAGCTTAGAGCTAGAACAAACAGAACTGTTATCTCTGGTTTGTTACCTGTGCCACGTGCTAGCAAGGCAAGGATTAGGGAGAGAGAGCAGTTGAACATGTTGCTACAGGGATGGTGCAGGAGGGAGGGATTCAGATACCTGGATAATTGGGGCTCATTCTGGGGTAGGTGGGACCTCTACAAGTGGGATGGTCTACACCTGAACCAGAGGGGTGCCAATATCCTGGGGGGGAAATTTGCTAATGCTCTTCAGGAGGGTTTAAACTAATTCAGCAGGGGGATGGGAACCTGAATTGTAGCTCCAGTGCACTGGAGGTTGAGAGTAGTGAGGTCGTGAATAAGGTTTCAAGGTCGCGGGAGTGTACCGGCAGGCAGGAAGGTGGTTTGAAGTGTGTCTACTTCAACACCAGGACCATCCAGAATAAGGTGGGTGAACTTGCAGCATGGGTTGGTACCTGGGACTTCGATGTTGTGGCCATTTCGGAGACATGAATATAGCAGGGACAGGAATGCTTGTTGCAGCTTCCGGGGTTTAGATGTTTCAGTAAGATCAGGTGGTAAAAGAGGGGAAGGTGTGGCATTGTTAGTCAAGGACAGTATTACGGTGGCAGAAAGGCCGTTTGATGAGGACTCGTCTACTGAGGTAGTATGGGCTGAGGTTAGAAACAGGAAAGGAGAGGTCACCCTGTTGGGAGTTTTCCATAGGCCTCCGAAAAGTTCCAGAGATGGAGAGGAAAGGATTGCAAAGATGATTCTGGATAGGAGCGAAAGTAACAGGGTAGTTGTTATGGGGGACTTTAACTTTCCAAATATTGACTGGAAACACTATAGTTCGAGTACTTTAGATGGGTCAGTTTTTGTCCAATGTGTGCAGGAGGGTTTCCTGACACAGTATGTAGATAGGCCAACAAGAGGTGAGGACACATTGGATTTGGTACTGGGTAATGAACCAGGCCAGGTGTTAGATTTGGAGGTAGGTGAGCACTTTGGTGATAGTGACCACAATTCGGTTATGTTTACTTTAGCGATGGAAAGGGATAGGTATATACCACAGGGCAAGAGTTATAGCTGGGGGAAAGGCAATTATGAGGCGATTAGGCAAGATTTAGGGTGCATAGGATGGAGAAGGAAACTGCAGGGGCTGGGCACAATTGAAATGTGGAGCTTGTTCAAGGAACAGCTACTGCGTGTCTTTGATAAGTATGTACCTGTCAGGCAGGGAGGAAGTGGTTGAGCGAGGGAACTGTGGTTTACTAAAGAAGTTAAATCTCTTGTCAAGAGGAAGAAGGAGGCTTATGTAAAGATGAGGCGTGAAGGCTCAGTTAGGGTGCTTGAGAGTTACAAGTTAGCCAGGAAGGACCTAAAGAGAGAGCTAAGAAGAGCCAGGAGGGGACATGAGAAGTCTTTAGCAGGTAGGATCAAGGAAAACCCTAAAGCTTTCTATAGGTATGTCAGGAATAAAAGAATGTCTAGAGTAAGATTAGGGCCAGTCAAGGACAGTAGTGGGAAGTTGTGCGTGGAGTCCGAAGAGATAGGAGAGGCCCTAAATGAATATTTTTCGTCTGTCTTTTTCCTGTGTGAATACTATGTTGTCGAGGAGAATACTGAGATACAAGCTATCAGACTAGACGGGATTGAGGTTCATAAGGAGGAGGTGTTAGCAATTCTGGAAAGTGTGAAAATAGATAAGTCCCCTGGGCCAGATGGGATTTATCCTAGGATACTCTGGGAAGCTAGGGAGGAGATTGCAGAGCCTTTGGCTTTGATCTTTATGTCATCATTGTCTACAGGAATAGTGCCAGAAGACTGGAGGATAGCAAATGTTGTCCCCTTGTTCAAGAAGGGGAGTAGAGACAACCCTGGTAATTATAGACCAGTGAGCCTTACTTCAGTTGTGGGTAAAGTGTTGGAAAGGATTATAAGAGATAGGATTTATAATCATCTAGAAAGGAATAATTTGATTAGGGATAGTCAACACGGTTTTGTGAAGGGTAGGTCGTGCCTCACAAACCTTATTGAGTTCTTTGAGAAGGTAACCAAACAGGTGGATGAGGGTAAAGCGGTTGATGTGGTGTATATGGATTTCAGTAAAGCTTTTGATAAGCTTCCCCACGGTAGGCTATTGCAGAAAATACGGAGGCATGGGATTGAGGGTGATTTAGCGGTTTGGATCAGAAATTGGCTAGCTGTAAGAAGACAGAGGGTGGTGGTTGATGGGAAATGTTCATCCTGGAGTTCAGTTACTAGTGGTGTACCTCAAGGATCTGTTTTGGGGCCACTGCTGTTTGTCATTTTTATAAATGACCTGGATGAGGGTGTAGAAGGATGCATTAGTAAATTTGCAGATGACACTAAAGTTGGTGGAGTTGTGGATAGTGCGGAAGGATGTTGCAGGTTACAGAGGGACATGGATAAGCTGCAGAGCTGGGCTGAGAGGTGGCAAATGGAGTTTAATGCGGAAAAGTGTGAGGTGATTCACTTTGGAAGGAGTAACAGGAATACAGAGTACTGGGCTAATGGTAAGATTCTTGGTAGTGTGGATGAGCAGAGAGATCTTGGTGTCCATGTGCATCGATCCCTGAAAGTTGCCACCCAGGTTGATAGGGTTGTTAAGAAGGCGTACGGTGTGTTAGGTTTTATTGGTAGAGGAATTGAGTTTCGGAGCCATGAGGTCATATTGCAGCTGTACATAACTCTGGTGCGGCCGCACTTGGAGTATTGCGTACAGTTCTGGTCGCCGCATTATTGGAAGGATGTGGAAGCATTGGAAAGGGTGCAGAGGAGATTTACCAGGATGTTGCCTGGTATGGAGGGAAGTTCTTACAAGGAAAGGCTGAGGGTCTTGAGGCTGTTTTCGTTAGAGAGAAGAAGGTTAAGAGATGACTTAATAGAGACATACAAGATGATCAGGGGATTAGATAGGGTGGACAGCAAAAGCCTTTTTCCTCAGATGGTGATGGCTAGCACGAGGGGACATAGCTTTAAATTGAGAGGTGATAAATATAGGACAGATGTCAGAGGTAGGTTCTTTACTCAAAGAGTAGTAAGGGCGTGGAATGCCCTGCCTGCAACAGTAGTAGACTCGCCAACTTTAAGGGCATTTAAATGATCATTGGATAAACATATGGATGGTAATGGAATAGTATAGGTTAGATGGGCTTCAGATTGGTTTCACAGGTCTGCGCAACATCGAGGGCCGAAGGGCCTGTACTGCGCTGTAATGTTCTATGTTCTATGTTCTAAGAAAGAGGAGGATTTCTAAATGAACCTGGATGGGTCTTAGTAATATGTGAGCACTGTCAACATCTAACTGATGTCCTATTCCATTTGAAACATCACTGCTAAAATAAAGCAAGAGGAATTTCAGATGAAATGTGGCAAGTTTTCGTTTGGAAACATGCAACACTGAAGAAGACCATTCAATCTTTTGTACCAATGCTAGCATTTGGAAGGGCTATTCAATGAGTCCCATTCCTGTGCCATTTTGCCACTACCCGGCAAATTTTCTTCTATCATTTTTCCAATTCAGTTTTGGAAGCTATGACAATTGAATCCTGTGCAGTCCTAACTTGGTGGTGTTGAATGGGGATAGAAGGAGAAGTCAAGGCAGGCAAAAAGAAAACAGTGTAAAACTGAGAGTATATTAAATCAAACTGAGGGATGGAGAAAGAAGAAGAACACACCGAGATAGATGGTCCCCCATCTATCATTGCTTTTACAAAATCGAATGCTGCTTTAGTTGCTGATCGAATATTATCAACTCTTCCTTCCTGAAAGCGACGTGTTGAAGCACTTTCATAAGTAGGGACAAGTCTCCCATGGCATCTAGATTAGAAACAACAACAGTAATTTTTAATGATGTGGAAAATCCCTAAGAGCGAGGGAAATATGTAAAGACCGAAAACAAATGAGAGATGAGCCAAACTATTTGAAGCGTAAGGAAACAAATACATCATTAGTAACATGAAAAACACAGCTAAGGATAAATATAAAACTAATACCAAAAAAGGGGATAATAGAAAACCAGGCCCTGGATAGCAGAAGGAAAAGATTATAAGACATTTTATATCAGGTAGGCTAGCAGAAGTATCAATTAAGGATTAAATATGATAAACATAACATGGAGGATGAGTAAATATCAGAAACACAGTAACATTTTTCACAACAAACCTCAATATGTATGAAATTCCAGATGCAGTAATTTTAACTTGGAATATATAACCTATTTAGACATAACTAATGCATGCATAATGAAGAACCTCAAGTTAATTAAATGTGCCCAGGGAATCAGATGGCTTGCATCCAATAATCCTTAAGGAGAAGAGAGAAGAATTGGGTGAGAGATGCAACCGATTTGTGTTCAACATTGAGGAGGTAGGAAAGAGTCTGACAAATGCAGTGAATTGAGTTACATGTGAATTATTCTGTTAGCTCAGTTCAAATCAAAGTTTTTTTTAATTGAGGTTTAGCAATTTTAATAATCTCGTTTAGATCATTCCTTATCTACTTACTCCACAGAAGTTGTATTTGGTGTACGCTCACCAACACCTACTCAAGGCAAACTAGAGATGGGCAATAAATGCTGACCTACCAGCAATACCCACATCCCACAAAAATGAGTTTAGAAAAATGAAACATTTTGGTTTCTCTAGTATAACAAGTTACAAGTTCTTGCTCAGAATTCTAAAACAATATTGGTGAGGACAATAATCTGTGTTGCTAGAACTGCCTTCTGTTTCTTCACACAAATATGGTTGACTGGTCTCAGACTCCAGGCACAACAATATAAGAAAAAGGAGTAGAACCAGACCATACAGCCCACTCTCACTGAGTCTGCTCCATCTTTCAAGGTAATCGTGGATAATCTTCAACATCAACATTGATGATTATATACCTCCTGCAATGCAGTAACATATACGGTTGTCTACCACATTGACAGTGAATGAAGGAAGTTGGGACAGAGATGTTGAGGATTTTTTGGTCTTGAAGGGTAGTGAATCTGTAGAAATCTTTACCACAGCTGGGGATAGAGGCTGTATTATTAAGTATATCGAGGGTTAAGACAGACATATTTTTGATTAGTAAAGGAATCAAGGGTTATATGGAAAAGGCGGGAAAGTAGAGTTTAAGGTTACTAGATCAGCTGTGATCTTGTTTAATGGTACAGCAGATTCAATGGGCGGAATGGACTACTTCTGTACCTGTGTTTTATGGTCTTAGATCAGATTTCATGTTTTTTTGAGGTGGTCTAAGTGAAATATCTGCCAATTTTATGGATGCTCCAAGTTGGAACAAAGACTTAAATTTCTAAACTAGGAATTTCAGCATCGATGTAAACTCAACCAGTCCTGCCTCACAAATATGTGGAATTTCTTTGAAGAAGTAACCAAATTCAACAGGTAAGGGCAATCCAGAGGGCATGATGTAATTATGCTTTCAGAAAACATTTGGTTATGTGATATAACGTTTGATGGCGTAGAAGCTTTAATTTCATTTGGAAACATCATGACATTATTGGTATATTAGTTAATTGGATTGCAAATAGTTTTAGCATTAGAAAGCAGCAGGTGATGATAAATTTAAAAATATCTGGCTGGAGGGGAATAACTAGTTAAGTTCTTTGAGGCATCTTTCGCTAGTCTCCTGCTTTTCACATTAACTAGAAATTATTCAAGAAGATGCTTGCAATCTCAGATAAAGAGGCAAGCTTTTGGCTATATGTCAAGCATGTAAAATTGATAACATTGTGAAAGATCAAGATCAATGGAGTGCTTTGGATTAGGAATGGCAGGAGGAATTTAAACTAAATAACGTAGATTTAAATTGAAATAGATGCAAAATGTAACAGGAATTGTAATACCTGATGCATTATGAAAACTTTCTTATAAACATAACAAAAGAACATCATTTTGCAGCAATGTGACTTGGCCCTGGAGAAGATCTTGCTAAGGTCTTATGAGTAGATTTTTGTTTTCTCTTTTCACTAGGGAAATCTCACCTTCAACGCAGAACATGGGCACACTGTCTGAACACTTGGGCTTGCTTGAAAATTGGATTACTGCAAGCTAAAAGGAAGGTTTTATGACCTTATTCGAAGTTTGGGAAACAACGTTTGATACTGCTTAAACCATGCCCTCTGAGTAGCTTTGGAGTCGGCTGAGGCAGAAGTAGGACATAACATGGGGATATCCACTCGTGTAGTGTAAAAAAAAATGCAACTTGTGGGCTATCATTGCTCATTCACTGAAGCTATCCAGTCAATCTGAAACTGTTACAGACCCTCTCACTGCAGCATCAGAAGGACATTTGAATTGTAAACAGGATATTTTCACTTTCAGGGGAGATCAAAATTAGAAGCCATAAACAAAAGACAGTCATTAATAAATTCAAATTGGAATGCAGGAGAAACTTTACTCTGAATCTGAATTTGAATTAGAATCTAAAACAAGGAGTAATTGAGGTGACTAGCATAGATGCACTCAAAGGGAAGTTATATTAAATGAGGGAGATAGTAATCAAAACATATGTTATTATTGTTAGATGAAGAAAGGTGGAAGGAAGTTTGGAGGAGCATGGATTCGGCAAGGCCTGATTTTTTTCTATAAATGCAAAATGTGATTTAATGTGATTTTTAAAAATCAAGAAGGATGATGAAAGAGGTTCTTAAAATACTTTGACATTGCATGCAAATGCAAACAAGTTGCTTAACCTGAATGTTTGACACAAAATACAAGACCACGCAAGTAAAAGTAACAAATCTCAACCGGATTGGAAGAGAGTTCCCGACAGAATTATTTCCTAACCTGTTTAGAATGGTTTCCTCAACCTAGTAATGATTGTTACCAGGTTAAGCAACAATGGAGACAGTTGAATGATATGTACATCACTTTGGTTGTTATAAGCTCTGAGTTCTGAGGAAGGGGCACCGGACCCGAAACGTTAACTCTGTTTTTTCCTTAACAGATGCTGCCAGACCTGCTGAGCTTTTCCAGCAACTTTGTTTTTATTCCTGACTTTGGTTGTTATATTGGCTGGAACTTGAAGTTGCAACTCAAGGAAGGAAACTGTTCAGGGAAAAGTAAAGCTTTTGATGCTACAGATTTATAATGTTGATGCTTTTTAGTTTTGCTTGTTTCAGCTTTTAAGAGACAGGGGGGACATTATTTGAAGTTCCTTATTTGAAGAAATCAAATGATTCAACTAGAAAGAACCATGACAGGAGATTATGTTTTGACTAGTCCACAGAAAGAGGAAATTTCATTGGTAAAACAGCCTATGTCAATTCTATGCTATCCCATATACTTTAAGGCTAGATTGGAGCACATTGAAAGTTTGTGAACTTCAAGGCAGCTTCAGAGACTTACCTGTAAAAAGACAGTTGCAATCCAACCTGAATAAAAGCATCAGGACTCATCTTTTGTTTTTTAATAAAGTCTTTGCCAAAAGCCTTAAACCAGTACACATTTAGATCAATGTTGTCTATCAACCTGGAAAAAAACATATTACTAAAATTATAAGATGCATGTAATATCATAATCTGCTCTATTTACACCTCAAGTTTAGCCAAGAATACTAGTGAAACAGATGGAGTTTTACAACAATCCAGTATTTTTTGGTCACCATATCTGATATTAGCTTTTTATTACATATTTTTATTTAATTAATTGAATTTATGTGCCCCATATCCCATGTTAGGATTTAAACTCATTTCTTCAGATTACTAGTCCAGCATTTTGGGATTATTATTCCAAGGTGTAACTAACACAACACTGGAGCCAGAACTGCACTGAAAGCTGAAATCAATTTATAGATGATCACTGTAATTGTTTTCATAACATTTATACAAATAAACTCTTATGAGATATTTCTTAGCATTTGGCCTGTACCTTTGGAGCTTATCAGCTGCTGAAGTTAAATATCGTTTTATTTCAGAGTCACATTTCCACCTCAGTCTTCTTGGAGCTGGCAGCTCACAGACAGAGTCAGCTCGTACTAACTTTTTTGAAGTCTCTTTACTGTAAAAGAAAGACACATTGCATATATGTGTATTACTCAGCACCTGGGTCTGAAATATAGAACTAGAAATGGCTTTACGTAGACATGCCAATGAATCTGCACTGAATACAGTGCCAAGTGAAGTCTAACCACACATCAATTTTTATAGTTCATGGACTTCTAATAGCAGAGCCATATACAAATGTGACCCCTGCATGTGCAGAGTTCCAAATAGTGTGTGACTTGTACACTGGGCTTATTTTTTATGATATATTCATTTTCTATCTGTTGTGAATATATTCTGTATGTAAAGCTCAATGGTGGCTTTTCCATGATTTTCCAAGATGCCAACCCATTTAATGATTCATTTCTGCATTAAGATAACAGACAAACTAACTTCATGTTAATGTGTGTCAGGCTAATATCATATTGTTGTTTTTAGCTCAAATTTGCTGTTAGGTTTTTTTTGTGAAATTGAGATGCTAAAGCTGTCTTTTTAGCTGATCCATGTTTGGGACCCCACTCCTCTGAGTTTAATCAGTCAAGAGTGCTAAGGGAATTTTCTGTAATGAGACACCTCTTGTCAAAAAGGAACATAATCGAGAATCACTGGTACACCTTTTACATTGCATCCTCCCATTGTTACAGTAAACTGAATTAAAAACACAAATGCCCTCTTGGAGCACCTTAACTCCATCTGAGAATTCCACTATCCTTATTATTCACCTATCCCTCTGACAAAATTACTGATATGTAAAGGTTTTCCCAAATAGATCATAATCATTAGTGCAGTGAGAATAACAGCAAGAAAACAATGACATACATGTAACAGAGTAGGTGTTCAACACATTGTACAACTGCGATGCCTTCTGCAGGTGAGTGTTCATAAACCAGCCCACAAATTCCATCTTTTCCAACAATAAACTGTATGAAAAATGGAAATTTGTCAGTTTTCCTTCAGTTAAATTGTGAGATCAATCCAAACGTAACATAAAAGTAATTACTAAAATGCTGATTTTGCCATTTTTGTCTAGATATCTGTACAATCAACATTGCTGCTTCATTAAAATATAGAAACATACAAGATAGGAACAAGAGCAGGTTATTTGACACCTCAAGCCTACTCTGCCATGCATTAAGATAATGGCTGATCACCCTAATCCTGCCCTGCCCCCATATCCATTGATCCTTTTAGCCTCAAGAGTTATATCTACCTCCTTCTTGAAAACACGTAATGTTTTGGCTTCAACCACTTTCCGTGGCAGGAAATTTCACAGGCTCAGGTGAAGAAATTTCTCCTCACCTCAGTCCTAAAAGGTTTACCCCTTACCCTTCAACTTTGACACCAGGTTCTGCACTTCCTTCCATCAATAGCATCTTTCCTGCATTTAGTCTGTCTAGTCCTGTTAGAATTTTCTGTCTTTCTATGAGATTCTCCCTCATTCTTCTAAATTCCAATGAATACAATCTGAACTGACTCAATCTCTCCTTACATGTCAGTTCTGCCTTCCAAGACCCGTGATCAGCAGTGTTCCACAGGGATCGATGTTGGATCCACTTTTGTTTGTCATTTGTATAAATTATTTGGATGAAACTATAGAAGGCATCATTAGTAAGTTTACAGATGACACCAGAATTGGTTGAACAGTGGACAGTGAAGAAGGTTACAAAGAGATCTTGATCAGTGGGCTGAGCAGTGGCAGATAGAGTTTAATTTCGATAAATGTGACGTATTACATTTTGATAAAACAAACAAGGGCAGGACTAATACAATTAAAAGTAGGGCCTTGGGTAGGATGTAGAACAGAGAGACCTAGGGGTTCAGATACTTACTTCTTTGAAGTTTGTGTCACATATAAATAGGATGATTAAGAAGGCGTTTATCACACTTGCTTTCATTGCTCAGACCTTTGAGTATAGGAGTTGGGACATTATGTTGAGGTTGTGCAGGATATTGGTGAGGCCTCTTCTAGATTATTGTGTCCAGTTCTGGTTGCCCCACTAGAAGAAGGATATAATTAAGCTGGACAGGGTTCAGAAGAGATTTACCAGAATGTTACTGGGAATGGAGGGTTTGAGTAATAAGGAGAGGTTAGATCGGCTGGGACTTCTTTCACTGCAATGCAGGATTTTGAGAGGTGACCTTATAGAGGTTTATAAAACCATGAAGGGTATAGATAAGGTGGTTGGCAGATGTCTTTTCCCTAAGGTGGGGGATTTCAAGACTAGGGAGCATATTTTTCAGGTGAATGGAGAAAGGTTTTTAAAAAAGAGGGGACTTTTTTTTATACAGAAAGTGGTTTGTTTGTGGAATGAACTTCCAGAGAGTTACAACATTTAAAAGTCATTTGGCTAAGTATGTGAATAAGAAACATTTGGAGCGACATCAGCCAATCGCAGGCAGGTGGGACTAGTTTAGTTTGTAATTATGGACTTGTTGGACCAAATGGTCAATTTCCAGGCTGTATGACTGTATGAATCAATTTGGTGAACTTTCATTGCAATCCCTCTATAGCAAGAACATTCTTCCTCAGATAAGGAGACGAAAACTGCGCACAATATTCAAGATGTGGCCTCACCAGTGCTCAGGGATCCTTTACCATTAAGCGGTATAACAATATGCATTTGGTAACAACTTCAATTTGGGCTGCTGCCTCATGAAATTGCAGGTTGACCATTGCATTCAATCCTGATTGAACAATTGCTGATTTAATATTGGATTTCAACTTTTATGGTCAAGGGAGAAAGTTCCAGTTCGTAACACCATCTCAATTACACAAAGTAGCAGTGAAATGAAGGTCTTCACGTTTATTCTTGTATACTAAAATTTGAGGTAGGAATGTGGAGATCTGGCTTCAACATGAGCATCTCTCAGTGGACTCTTGACAATTTGGCCATAGCTGTCTGATTTTGTAAATAGTCAAATGTATTTCACTTTTATAAGCCCATTGACTTTTGTGGATTTAGATGTCAACATTAGTACGAATACCATTTAACTAACTAGGTTAATGTCTCATTATAAGTACAAAACTAAGGAATGTCACTTAAGAACATTTAGCAATTATCCACAATTATCATGAACAGAATTTTCTACATTAACATTTTGAGATATTTCCAACGATTTGATCTTTGTCTATAGAAAAGAAACAGTCCCCTAAAGAAACCTCTTTGAGAGATCATTAAATGTTGTACATGTGAGCCCTGCATCCATTACCTGCATGGTTTTGTCATACCAGCGATTTGCTCTATTTTTGTGACAGTCACCTCCATGCATTATCTGCAGTGCCAGGTTTACATCAGTCTGCTCAACACCACTTGGGGAATCTAAACACAATAGAAATATGCAGCGTTCGATCGCATCCAGAGAGTCCCGGTTAGTAGAGTCTGCAAAGAGAAAATCGAGAACTCATTAACCAAGTTAACTGATTTTTAGGTAACAAAAACAGAAGTTGCTGGAAAATCTCAGCAGGTCTGGCAGCATCTGTGAAGAAAAAATCAGAGTTAACGTTTCAGGTCAGGTGACCCTTCCTCAGAAGGTTCCTCAGAAAGTTCACCTGCAAGTTTTTCCAGCAACTTCTGTTTTTGTTCCTGATTTACAGCATCCACGGTTCTTTCGGTTTTTATTTAGATTTATAGGTAATTAGTGCCACAGGTAGCACAATATGGCTGTTGAGCACCAGTTATATAGATTATTAAATTAAACTTGCAAATATATCTGTATTACACCCGCCATTTATCAGGTAAAATAATATCTAATAGTGTATACCAACTTATCATCCCTCAATGTTTAGGCCGCTTATATTGCACAAATAATGTTAATTCAAAAGTGATTTTGCCAAATTATATAGTGTAATTTGTGTGAAAGACTATTACATTAGATGTAATTGTTGGCATTAAGCCATCTTGGAGAGTAGTTCTTCATCAGATATTGCATCATTTCAGAACAACTGCACTGTGACTACATCTAATAGAATGCAAAATGTAAGCGGTGTGAAATGGTTTGAATCATTTTAATGTCATCAAAACAATTCAGCCTATCAGATCGGGTTCTTGTTTGTATTAACTAATTAGCATATGGAACAGGATAGTTTCTTCCAGGGAGTGGTGCACACTGGTGGCACTGATAGGTTTTACATTGTGCTTTTGATCAGCAAAGTTACGTTTTTAACCACCTATCCTCTCCTCTATCCCTCTTCTATCCGCCTCCCACTCTCTCCCTATTTATTTCGGAACCCCCTTTCCCTCTCCCTTTTCTGATGAAGGGTCTAGGCCCGAAACGTCAGCCTCTCTGCTCCTATGATGCTGCTTGGCCTGCTGTGTTCATCCAGCCCTGCACCTTGTTGTTACGTTTTTAACAGATGGCTAATGTAGAGTCATCTTTGTTTCATTAGAGAGAGAGAGGGAGAGAGAGACAACAGCAACAACTGTTTTATGGTTTAACCTGGGGGTCACCACATCTAAGGCAAGGGGAATGATCATTCACTGCAATCTCAACCAGTGCAGGAATTGAATCACATTCTTTAAGCATGACTATACATTGAAAACCAACTATAGAGTCAACTCAGCTAATCAACTCCTCTATGGCTGATGGCTAAAACATTAGGTTAATAGGTGTTGATTTCAAAACAGTGCTTACAGCATAATGAGTCCAGATCCAGACAATACCTGGAAAGTTGAGGCACTAGCTTTGTTATAGATACATTTCTGATATAGAATTTAATGAGTGTAAATTGTCATCATCCCTACACTGCTGATCTGAAACGCATGGGCAAAATGCTGTTACTCTCAAAGATTAAAAAAGTTCCAGTCTATAAAGTTCATAAAAGGTATGATGAATCTTCTAAATATTTTTAAACTTGGATTTGACACTGCACAGCAGTTATACTCCATACAATATTACACATAATGCATTTGATTTTGTTTTATTTGTGTGAGATGTGGTTATTGCTAGCTGGCAGCATTTGTTGCCCATCCCTAATTGCCCTGGATAAGGTGAGCTGTCTTCTTGGCCTACTGCCCTTAGGGCATAGGTGTACCCACAATGCTTCAAGGAAGGGTGTCCCAGGATTTTGACCCAGTGATAGTGAAGGAATAGTGTTTTAGTTCCAGGTCAGGATGGTGTATGGCTTGGAGGGTAACTTGCAGGTGATATGCTTTTCCCTCCTTCCACTGCAACATTCGTAAGTCTGGTTCCAGACTTTATTGTCATACTTGAGTTACAACAAAATGGAAAATATAGTGCAGCAATGCAAAGATGACAGTGTAACCAAACCCATAGACACATTCATCATTGTCCTCCATTACAAATTTGGACAATAATGCATGACTCTTTTGGTCCTGTGTTCAACTTCAAAAGCATACAGTGCCAATTGAGCATAGAGATTTAGCTCTTACAGCTAACTGTAGGTCATTGTGCAGATAAAAATCTGAAAATATGCATAAACAAATTTCTATCTCTAAATATCAATCTATTTTTACCATGTCCTTTTATTACATATGAAAAGTAAATAGCATACGTACTAAGTTCAGCTTGCTTTATATATCAGTTATAAGTGATTGTCACAACCATGAGTAACATTTTGCATTTTTATTAAGTATCATTTTGTTTGAAAATAATGAATAAATGCATTTAATGCCATATGCTTTCATTCAACAAGTTATCACATTTATAATCTATAACTATTGATTTTGTTTGACACTTCTAAAAGATTGTGCTCTTTCTATATATGCTATACGTCAAATGAAGTACTCAGTGCTATAAGGGAAAACATGAACTTACCAAAGTACATGTTCAGTTTTATGTCTCACACACATCATTGAAATATGAAAATTTCTTTATTAATGTGTGCAAATATTGTTACTTATTGTAGATGTGAATGAAACCAATGTATTTGTATTCACCTTGGAAATCAATAGGTCAGGAGGAATGTAAACCTAGCAGGAAGCTTTCTTATTTACATGTGGACTGAAGTAGCAAAACAAGTCCAATAGAAACAATGGCACTTGTAAACAATAAACAAAGGGAATTGTCTTCAAAATTGTAAGCTTCGGGCACAATTTTGTTCAAAAAGTATTGATTTTAGTCAAATGTATTTTCCACCTTTTCTAACTCACCTTCTATTAAAAATTCACGGAATTTTACAGCTGGATCAAATCAATTGCTTGCAGAAATTTAGATTTAACCGTCCCAATTATTATCAGCACCATTAGTTACCACTAATGCTACTTTTTAAATGTTATGCAATGTTTAACATTATAAATAGAGATCAGTGGCTTCATTTTGCAAGGTAGTAACAATAATTTCAACAATACCTCTTGAACAGCACCTTCCAAATCCATGACCACTGCCATCTAGAAGGACAACGGCAGCAAGCCCATGGGAACGCCACCACCTGCAAATTGCCCTTCAACGCACACACTTGCCTGACTTGGAAATATATCACTGTTCCATCATGTGTCACTGGGTCAAATGCTGTCCTTCACAGGACTGCAGGTCTACCTAAGCCAAATGGACTGCAGCGTTCGGGAAGGCTGCTCACCACCACCTTCTCAAGTGATTTTGGGATGGGCAGCAAAGCCCACACCCAGTGAATGAATAAAAATACTGCTACTCCTTCACGGTCAATTGTGCATGAGTAATGTTTGATGGTGCGTCAAGAGTGTACTAAGCAATGTCTGAGAGTGTGAGTAATCCAACATATCACATTAGCTTTAACCAGGTCTTTAAAGGCAACCTGGTTTAAGATAACTGTATAAATTACTTTTTCTTTTTATTCAATAGGATTCCAGAATGTTTTTAATTATTTGGTCCTTGTATTTTACTACTTTTCTTGTTTTGATTTCATGGTCTTTAATTATCAATAGCATACTCTGTCAAGCAACTTTTTTGCCTCATTATTGAATCCTAAATTCTAGCTAAATTAATTCACATTAGTTTTTGATTCACAGGCTAATACATAACAAATGAACAGTATAGTTATGCCTAGCAGATTCCAGTGATCAAAGGACACTGAAATAATACATCATAAAAATTCTAAGACAATTCCCTAATTCAACTAATAGACTGTACAGTGCCTTTAACATGGATCTGTTAAATCTGTAATACAAAACAACCTTGACTCTGATTTTGGTAAGTAGTCAAAGACAAAAATATCAGCATCTATCAAGGGACAGTGAGCAATCCTCCCATTAGATCTATTAACAATGATTAGGTCTTTTGTCATGGAAAGACAGAATCCATCCATTGGACAAAGTGGTACAAAATATCTATTCCATACACAATGTATATCTTCTGTCCTTAGAGATGGATTTGCTTTCAAAATAACACCAGGAATGCCAAGGGTGTGCTGTTAATGTTTGTAAAATTAAAATATATTCTTGAAGTAAAGTAATGTTAGCGATGAATCTGTTGCAACACTTTCCATAGATTTGATGGTGTAACAGGTGAAATTAAGCCTAGGATTCTATCCTTAATAAATAGATAGAACTTGCGTTAATATATGAAAAACTACTCTAATGTCAGTGAGATATGTATTCTAATTCCCTGAAATGGTAATGAGCTGTCAGGTCCATATAATATCCATGATACAATGAAATGCAAGACCAGAAAGTGCTTCTTCCAGGCAAATTATTTTAAGAAGCACTAGTATGAATTTGACATCGAAATGAAAATGATGTGGCAGTACAGTAGTATCTATGACTACCATCCATGTATTCTGCTCACTAGATTTATGTAATAAATCAATATGTGACTTTGATTGGACAGCCGTCATTTTAGTTAAATCGGCATTAAATTTCCCATCATAAAATTAGATTAAAGTGAGAGAAAATTAGAGCATCCCACTGTAATTGAATTTCTATTTGGGCAGTTTGCATCTGGTGAAACTGAAATTAGTGGAAAACATTGGCATTCTGACCTCGCATTTGTATTTTCGTGGTGCAGGAAACAGATAGAATCCTATATCATTTGCATTCCAAGCAAATAACCTTTGGCACAAAGCATTTGACTAGCTGGTTTCATGTTCCTGAAGAGTGGGAATACTTTGTTGATTGAATACATAAATAGATGAATACATGCTTTGTTGATTTGTATCTCACCTCTCATGACCAGTCTCCTTGCCTCTGCCCATTCAGTTCTGCTGTCTGATGTGAGCAGCCCAATTGGAGCTATTTGTTCTTCCGGATTGTCTGCCATTTTCACAATCTTTCTCAACTGAGTGAATAAGTCAGTTTCATTCAAACGTCTGAAGTTTATGACAACATCCAAAACAAAGAACTGGAAATAAATGGAACTGACATTAATGCTTTCAGTGATCGTGTAAATTATTAAAAGATGTGGGTTATGTTTTTGAAGACCCATTTAACTTGTGAATGTGATTACTTGATGGGGATAAAGTCTGATATTTATGCCTTATTTGAAAATTTAAAAATATAATGATCAGGTGAGATGTGCTGTTCTGAAGTTATGATCTTTGATCTCATTTGGACATTTACCTACTAATGTTCACTATAATTTAGGCCACTTTGGCATCAATTTCCAATTATTCTGCATTTATTTGTGGTCTGTCCCATGTAGAAATCAGAATATGCTTTCTCACCTGGTTCTTACAAGCCACTATAACATGCTCTGGTTCAGGCATGACACTGCTTTTCTGGACTGCCAATGTGTCTTTTTGATGACCTGGGAGACGGTAAGATGAGAAAAGCTTGTAGTACTGCTCCATACACAAGGGTTGTCCAGCCAACTGACCACGGGCATAATCAACAGGTAAAGCACGGCTGAAAAACAGATGTGAAAATAAATATTGCCAGCTACTCCTGAGGTACCCAGCATCATACATTTTGAGTTTCCAGCCAATTCAGTTCACTGCACATGATAACAAGAAATGCAGCAAAGGCTGTGTATCCTGGCAACATCTCAGCAGTAGTATTCAAGACATGTGTTCCAGTTGTAACCATGCCCTTAGTTAAATTGTTTCATTAGAGCTACACTATTGCTATTTACCTGACGATGTGGAAAATTGCCCAAGTATATACACATAAACGAGAGCCAGCATATCATGGAAACCTTATCAACAGTGCTATCAAATGGCACTTACTTAGTAAAGATCTGCTCACTTATGCTCATTTTGAGTTCCACCACAGTCACGTGGTTCCAGGCTTCATTATAACCTTGGTTCAAACATGAGTGAAAATGTTGAATTCAAGAGGTGAGGTGAGAGGTATTGCCCATGACATCAAAACAGAATTTGACCAAATATGGCATCAAGAAACAATAGCAAAACTGAAGTAAATGGCAATGAGGGAAAGCTTTCCACTGATTGGAGTCATATCTAGCACAAAGGAAGATGATTGTGCTTGTTGGAGGTCAGTCATCTCAGTCCCAGAACTTTGCTGCAGCTGTTTCCAAGAAGTAGGTAGATCTAGATCTTATGGCGAAAGGGATCAAGGGGTATAGGGACAGTGCGGGATTAAAGTATTGAACTCAATGATCAGCCATGATCATAATGAATGGCTGAGCAGTCTTGAGGGGTCTAATGGCCTATCCTGCTCCTAACTTCTATGATTCTATCTTGCTCAGGAGAGTGTTCTAGGTCATCAATCATGTTCATCTGCTTTATCAATGACTTTTGCGATATCACATTTCTGGAAGTGGGAATATGCACTGTTGATGACACAATGTTTATGACCACTCACGAATCCTCAGATGTAGAGCAGTCACACCCATATCTAATAAGACATGCCCAACATTCAGGCTTTCCCTACCAGCACCATGAGTATACCTACATCACATGACTACAGTCATTCAAGAAAACTGCCCAATTCACAGTGGGCAACACATACTGGTCTTGGCAGCAAGTTCCACATCTCATGGAGCAATTTGTATAAAACCATAGTCTCTCCCTGATTGTATGCCTTCAACTTCTCAACAGTTGTTATTTAATTTAAACCTCAGTTTAGACAAACATTATCTGATTGCATTAAAGCAAAAATCCAGATTTTTCCTCTGCTCAATTTGGTAAGAGGTCTGAAATCTAGGTATAATCTTAATTTTGTTAGGAGCCACTGCACAATTTTTGTCTAAAATACAACGAATATGATTAGCTGTCAACAACCACTAGAAAACGTATAAATGCAATGTGGAAACAATAGGCAGATAATGACCCTCCAAGTTCATATCAGAAATCATTAACAGCAGTTACAAGCAGTGCAGAAGGGCAATTGATTCATTATTATCAGCAGATATCCCTCACTTCAAGGCTGACATCTGGTCAGGTTGCTGCTGTAGGTCTTCATTGATTTAACAGACTGATTCTCAATCCATAGATATTTGGGAATATGGGGCAGAATGTGCCATAAAGTAGCAGAATCCAGAACACAGGCTTTGCTTCCTTTTTCTTTCCTTTTCTGGCCACCCAGCCCCATCATTAAGATGTTGTGACTCAGAGCATGATGTAGTTTGATAGACAAGCTGTCACAATTTTGAATGATTGGTGACAAGTTACTCTCACTCATTGATTTCAACGCTGCTGTGCTTCAAGGATAAATTCTCTGAGTGTTTTGAATTATTTTGTTTGTCCTTCTCTGGAATATCAGCCATTTGAGTGTTGAGTTAGTCTGGCATGGAAGTTGCTTTTCACCTGTCTAGAGTACAGTCCATCAGTGTGGATTTTGCTGGAGTTTTGCTGTGGAGCTGGCTTCCAGAAGGACATTAGTGTGATCCTCACATTGAATCCAAAGGAAGATGCAATGGAGGTTTGCTGATTGAGTTCCTCTAGTGCCCTTATGTGTCACTGGTACACAGTCCAGCTCTCATTGTAGTGCAGGATGCAATGACAACAAATATTCTGTACATTAGGACTTTTGTTGACTTACAGAGGTCTATGTTGTCACTCACTGCTGTTGTTTGTAGAAAGCTAAATGGGCAAAAGTAGATAGCCACTTGATCACTGAGATATGATCACAAGCATCTCTGTTCCCCTTTAGACTCCAAATCCTTACATTGCCACAAAGACAAAATCCTTGACATGCCTAACTTGGCTCATTGTATTGCAATGCTCTAATCCCACAACTCCTTCAATCATACCACACAACCTCTAGAGTTTGAAATGACATCCAACCACCCAATCATTGCATTCTCTGTTCTTTCAGAGCTTGGTGGCCCATTGAACAAAAGCTCTAGGCTTCCCAACAGCAGAAAAGGGAATCCACTATGCACGTCTGTCTATTGTTCTTTTTCAAGATCCATAGTTAGCGATGGAGCATTTTTAAATAGAATTCAAGCAATTTAGGGTGTGTTTTCACGCAATAGTCTTAGGTTTAGTGGAGCAACAAAGGGACCCTGGTAGCTCATGTTAACGGGCTAGTGGATTACTGTGTCCGATGTGTGCTATGACCGATATTATTCAATGTGAGGCTGGTATGTGTATGATTACTTACGCATCTATTACAACCTTGTAATCCAGTATTCCGGCAATGAGGCGGGCAGCGAACCTGTAAAGGAAAAATGTAGATAATGACAGCGCAACAGTGAGATTTTTGCCAATTTCGACGTACAACCTAATCTTAAGAGAGAGGAAGAATTCTGAAGCTCCATTTATTATCCATTAGAATTATGATTATGGAAAATTAAGTTGCAGGTTTCACTCCATAACGCCCACTCCTCACACAGCAAGGAAATGTCCATCTCTCGATCTAAGTTAGGACTGTTTTGACCAAGTCCATATTAGTTACAACCTTAAATCTCCCGATGTCGGTAGCGGGACAATGTGACCTTGCATCTGCCCATATCATTCTTATCGGAAATAACACAGACATTTCTCCCATTGCACAGACTACTCTGCCGATATACCAAGGGATGTGTTCTTAACAAAATAAAAATTGCAATCAAAGAAAGAACTGAGAGTGCTGGACTCACTGGACTCAATAACAATGACTCTGCTTTCTCTGCACAAACGCTACCAGTCCTGCTGAGATTCTCCAGCACTTTCTGTTTTTGTTTCCTTAAAATAGAAGCTGCCATTTGGAAACTGCTTCCGTTAAACAAAAAAACAGCAGCAACGAATTCCTGTGCATGCATTGGGTCTAACTCCGGAAAACATCGCCCTGAAACGCTACCGAGGTGATACTTCTTGGCATTGTCTTAACTTGCAGTGCCCTTGGAGACACCGAGCGATGCGCGGTCCAGCATTTCTGGAAGGTTAGGGTCGGATCGTACCTGAGTTGATCATTTTGATCGTGGAAGATCTGGCGGGGGAACACCATTCCTGGACTGGAGTTTACCGTCAGAGCAACTGGATTGCGTAGATACATGTCATCCAGCCACCATTCATACACCTCAGGGAGAAGTGGAAAGGTTACCCTAATGTTATATTTAATCAACCAAGATTCTTAATTCAGGGAATGTACTTTATATATATCAAAAAGGGGTTATCTTATACATTAAAATAAAACAAGGAACTGCGGATGCTGGAGGTCTGAATCAAAAACGGAAATTGCTGGAGAAACTCGGCAGGCCTGGCAGCATGTGTATAGAGGAAGCAAAGTTAACGTTTCGGGACAGGTTCTGGACCGGAACTGTTGACTCTGCTCTCTTCTCACAGGTGTTGTCAGACCTGCTGTCTCCAACAATTTCTGTTGGTGTTATCTAAGTCATTGCTTAGTTTCTGATTGAATGGTCAGTTTCGACTTCAATGTTAAAGACATTTCTGAAGCAGGTAATAGTTTCTTGTTATAAATGTGAATGGTTTTGTTCATGACACTTCATTTAGAAGTTTCAAATCGTTGATGTTAAAGATCCATCGTATGGTTCGGAAAATTGAGACAAACTTAAATTGCAATTTGGTCCTACTGCAGGGGTCTTCCGTCTCCTCTAATTAGCAAGAAACTGCATGTGAAAATCGTCGTGAGTACGTTGAAGTGATTGATTCGGAAGAGATAAAGGATTGGCCGTGTAATCGATGCAAAAGAAAATCCCTTTCGAAACTAGTAAACACACATAATCTGCAAAAGAGAGGTCGGAAGATTTAGATAAATAATGATGAAGAATTTGTTGTTGCCTGGGCTGAAGAGTTTTAGTTATAAAGAGAGATTGGACAGATTGGGTTGTTTCCTTCCAGCAGAGGAGACTTAGCATTGTGCCCAGTTCTGGTCGCCCTGTTGTGGAAAGGATATGATTAAACTGGAAAGTGTTCAGAAGACATTTATCAGGATGTTACCGGGAATGGAGGAGTTGAGTTATAAGGAGAGGCTGGATAAACTGGGACTTTTTTTCGCATAGGCGTGGAAGGTTGACGGGTGACCTCATAGAAGTTTAAATTATGTGGGACGTCGATAAGGTGAATGGCAGGTATCTTTTCCCTAGGGAGGCCTATTTAAAGACTAATCAGCATATTTTTAACGAGAGAGGAGACTTAAAAAAGACATGGGGTCAATTTTTTTTACGCAGAGTGGCTGGTGTGTGGAATGAACTTCCAGAGAAAGTGGTGGATGCAGGTACAGTCACAACGTTTAAAAAGACATTTAGATAAGTACATGAATAAGAAAGGTTTGGAGGGATATGAACCAAGGTTGGCAGGTGGGACTAGTTTAGTTTGGGATTATGGTAGGCATGGACTGGTTGGGCTGAAGGGTCTGATTCTGTACTGTATGACTCTATGACTCAATGATTGAGGTGTATAAAGTTATGAGGATCATAGTCAGAGTAGATGAAAAAAAATTCTTCTTCATCATAGAATCCCTACAGTACGGAGGCAGACCATTCGGCCCATAGAGCCCACACCGACCCCCCCCCCCCCACCCTATAATCCTGCATTTTCCCATGGCTAATCTACCTAGACTGCACATCCCTGGACACGATGGGCCAATTTAGCATGGCCAATCCACTTAACCTGCCCATCTTTGGACTGTGCGAGGAAACTGGTGCACCCGGAGGAAACCCACCAGACACGGGGAAAATGTGCAAACTCCACACAGCTCGAGGCTGGAATCGAATTTGGGACCCTGGCGTTGTGAGGCAGCAGCGCTAACTACTGATGGAGGAATGGAGGGTGGGCGATGTTGGGCGACGGGGAGGGTAAGGGGCAGGAGGTTTAGAGGGGATGTGAGGAAGACCTTTTATTTCACCCAGAGGGTGTTGGGTACATGGAACTCACTACCTGTAAGAATGGTACAGGCAGAAACAGGCATTTAGATGTGCAGTAGCGATGCCAAGGTATAGAAGGGTATTAGCCAAGTGCTGGAAAATGTGATTAGAATTGTAAAGTGGTTGACTTTGACGGGCGGGAGCGCGATGGGCCGAAGGGCTTTTTTTCCTGTGCTGTAGGATTCTATGACTCCATGAATATTTCATAACAGTTCAATGGACTTGCGTACTTTGGCGAAATGCTTTCTATAGTAATAAGGTGGGACAACGATGAGTTAAACCGGATCTGTATTTTGTAGGTGCAGTGTCTTCATTTACCCAGTTAACTTCGCTTTCCCTTCGCTTTATTAATTGTTGCTGCAAAAACTCGCCAATCTCTCCACGAGCGCCGAACTTCTGCACAATGGCCTCGGTGGTTCTGTACTGCTCCTCGGTGACCAGGTGTCTCATAGACTTCAGGTACACGTTCAAGGTTTCCTGCAGAGGCGGCACCGGCAGCTTGGACAAAACCTGCAACACGGATAGGTTCAGGAGCATTGAAATGGCACGCAACCATCATCTTGCTATTAAGACGCTCCTCAACTGAATGAAAGAGAAAGCAAAAAAAAATCAAATGAAACAGGAAGGTGCAAAAAAAGGTCAGCAGTCTGATGCTTCCTTTACGCTTCTTACTGACTTGGTCTCGGCAACTTGCCTTTTTGAACGGTGTCCTTTGCATTATGTCATTTCTGTAAATATTCAGCAGGTTTAAGATAGGGAACTGCCTGCATGTCATTTCCCGGTTTCTTTTGTAGCTCTCGGAGGAAAGGGACACTGGACAGTTCTACGCTTTGCTTCCTCTATTGTGTATCATTGAAAATCATCATTTAGAGCGGTCATGAAAATTCTAAAATTAGTTAGCTAAACCCAAAATGAAACGGCTGGTTTTATCTATTTCACTCCTTGAGAATGCAGTAATACTGCTCTTAGGCAAGGGTTGACTACGCACTGTACCCAGTTCAAATTTAATATGGCACTCAGTCTATGACCAAGCTGCAGGTACAGCATAGAACAGGCACATATCAAAGGGAATTGCAACAGACAGTTGTACACCTGACTAAGACCGGAAAGTGTGGAGAAAAGTTGGAGTACATAGCTGTTCCGCCGAGCTTTGGGTCGGACCGCATCCTGGCTGGAGTTTTTGAGAATGGGCATGATTCCGCTGTTACCTCGAGCTGCCGATAGGAGAGACACACAAACCACCAGGATAGGGGTTCAGCCAACTCCTGGTGTAAAAAACCACAGGGAAGGGATACATTTAGCTTTGTCTCAATGGATTAGGGATTAAGATCAATATTCTACACAAACACACACACACACACACACACAGAGTAAATATTTCTGCTTGTCTTTCTGTGTATTATTTTCTACTAACACGTGAAAACTAATCAGAATAACGGATCATTATTAATCGTTCTTGAAAATGAAATTGAAAAAGAGATAATAAAATGTATGGAAGAAACAATGTTCAAGGCAACACTCCCTCTTAAAAATATTAAAGCAATCCCAGCAACTTTAAATCCTCTTAATATTCCAAATAGCCTTTCCGATTCTGTGTAAATAAATTAAGAAATTGTAAAAATGTACTGGTTATCCTACCTTACTTGCTCTGGCCTACATGTGACTCCAGACCCACAACAATGTGGGTGACTCTTAACTGCCCTCTGGGCAATTAAGGATGGGCAATAAATGCTGGCCCAACTAGCGACGCCCTCATCCCGTGAATGAATAAAAAAGAACTTCCGATAAGGCAATTGAAGAAAACTCACACTGGAGAATTCAGATCTGACAACTTTTTAAGTTCCCTCCTACCGTGCAAAGCACAAATCAAGTTCGCTTCGGTAATCTAACCCGAGTTTGAGGTATCCCGCAAACTGCTCCTCAGGAAGCTAGCTAGCATTTAGAACGTTCACAAGAATCGTTCCGTGCCCACCGTTCGCAAACTTGTGTCGCTACTTACCGAATTTCCCTCCGCTTCATGGAAAACGAAGACAATGTTGGCTTCACTCAAACGCCCTTTGCCAAGCGCATGGCTGCAAACTAGGTTTGAGCTGCATCGAAAACTTTCTCAGTCTGCTGGCATTTTCCACCCATTCTGGCTTCTTCAGGCTCAGAACGATGGAGCCCGAACAGAGAAAGAGAGAGAGGGGGAGTGAGAGAAGCGCGCAGAGCTCGGCTCGACTTTTTCTTGATGGACCAAAACCCACCCCTTTTCCCGATTCGCCGAGACTCAAAAGCGACAGCTTCATACGTAGCACCAGAACCGTTCACTGGACATTGGCGGGACCAAAATTCAGGGTAGGAGGCGACAGGGATGAATTACCTTGGAGTGGCCTTCATCATACGGAAGCCTTGTAATGTTTGAGCTGGCGTATTTACATATCATACCATTTCAACAACCAACGTTCAAATGATAATCCTGGTAGAATCTAACGTGTTGCTTTTAATAGGTGGAGTGTCATTGAACCACCCTCTAAATTCAAAGGGAGAATAAAGCCGAGTGTATAGTTCACACCATATTGAGCCCTTCTCGATTGGCTTGGAAATGATTTATACAGGGAGTGTATGTTGTACTCGACCGACATGTAGAAGATAATCGAGTTTTCGTCGCTTCACTCTTATTTTTGACGATCAGCATTATGAAAACACGTTTAAAGAGAGCTGGAGTGCTATAGGCCAAAACAATGTGAAGATTTTATTGGTAATGCCGAGCAAAATTTATAGAACAATCTTCTTGTTGCCTTCCACCGACTATTTTGAGAAAGTAGCCGGAATGTTTCCTCATGAGAGTTTGATAGAGGTTGGATGTGGGAAGCCTAGCGATTTAGCTGTTCTGGCATACAAACACATTCTCACTTGTGTGTATTTACACAGACAAACATATGTTCTCACCTGTACACATTTACATGTACAAACACGCATACACACTGTACATAGTTACACATAAAAACACACATACGCACTGCATATATTTACACGTAAAAACACATACACACCTGTATATGTTTACACATAAAGCCACAGATACACACCTGTACATATTTACATATAAAACCACTTTCACACCTGTAAATATTTGCGTATACAGACATACACACCTGTACACATTTGCACACATAAACAAATATTCTCACCAATGCACATTTACGTATATCCACATTCTCACTTCCAGAGTCAAATTTGACGATTTGTAAGTTTACAGATGTGAAAGATAGATCCTGGTCGAAAGCATTAATAATTGCTGTCTATGGCTGGGAGGGTGCTGAATGAGTATTGCAACGTGTGTAACGAATAATTTCGCGATCAAGGACGATTGATGTGTTGTTCTAGATTTTAATCGAAGGTTCCATTAGTTTTCACCCTCAGATGGCATAACTCAGGGCACAGTTAGCACCTAACTCCAGCAATCGTTATACGAGGTATTAACTATTGACCTACATCATTGAAATATTCCAACGCATTTAGAAACCTTATTTCAAACTAAAGTCCCTCATTAGTTACCTCTTTCCCCATTAATCATATTCTCCCGCCAAAAGCACCACGAGCTAACCGTTTTTTTCGTTTATTGCAATTTGTTAGATTAATTTGAATTAAAACAGCCCATTCATTTTTCAAAAATAAATGTATCAAAAATGACGTTTACTCTCAAACTTGTGAAAAATGACCTCCAGATTGTCAGACTGTATTTCGTGGCAAATTCTATTGATGAATTTATCATGTGCGTCAATTGTCTGTTGTGAGCTTTTTTCCAGAGCCGTCTGTTTATCTTCTTTTTGGGTAATTTCTAACGTTTTGAAACTCAATGTCAGCCGAAGCAGCAATTAAGCTTTCTGTGCAGCGTACGCAGATTCTGGACGAAGCTGATAGTTATTTCGGCTTGTTTTTCAAGAGGTGTTTTTCTACCCAGTTATTTTAAGGTCTGGACACACAAGTCGAGCCATCTTAATTCTACAAGGATTTTCTCTATTTTTGTTCAAGTTACAACAGGTTGCAACTCGTCCACCTCACTCGGAGTTTGCCCGTTTCGTTTTCGATTTCTCAGAAACTCATTTTGTCCTCCTGGTATCGAACTTGCTCACGGCTGCGGCAGACCGTGCGGACTGTAACGTTGTAGGAGCAAAATACTGCAGTTGCGGGAATCTGTACTGAAAACAACAAATGCTGGAGATCGCAGCGTGTTATCCATGGATGCCGTCCGACCCGCTGTGATCTCCAGCATTTGTTCTTTACAGTATAGACTGTAACGTTATTTAACCTCCAACCTGCACCATAAACTTCAACTTGTAACAGCGTCTACCCATTGGTTAACCTCCCTTTTGATTTTTATCACCATGGTTTCCAATGTATGACCTAAAGAAAATTCTCGGATGCCCTCTGATTCCTTCCTTTTCACTGATTTATAGAATAGAACAATGATTCAGACCATTGGGCCCATCAAGTGCGTGTCAGCTGTTTCAAAGAGCTATCCAGTTAACACCTCTGCTCTGTTCTTTATCCACATTCTCGTCCATCAACACACATCCACACACACACCTTCAGTTTTCTTTTAAAATCCAATTCCTTGTAACAGCTCCCATTGAATCAATTTCCATCGTTCTGTCAGACAGTACATCCCAAATCTTAACAAATGCTGTTTTTTTTTAGAAGGACTTTTATTCCACTCATCCTGCCTACAGTTCTTCTGTAACCACCATCATCTGTTCTGGTTTTATCATTATCTGTGGATATTTCTGACGATTGGTTTATTAGTACCGGGAACAGTTTTCATATTGAGTGCCCGTAGAGTAAGCGTGCCCCACCTTATTGCTACGTGAAGCTAAGTCAGCTTGCCTTCTGGAACCAAATAACAGCCCACAGAACTCCGAGCAGGTCTCGAATTCACCTCAGTAAGACACGGAGAATATTTTAATTATTAAATGTTGGAGATGAAGCCAGTTAGTTTAACCACATCATTCCAATTATGCGCATTCATTAAATTGCCAGCAACTACATTTCAAGGGTCGGTAAGGTTTCCTAATATTGGAATGTATTGCGCACGAAAAGTGAAAATGCAACTACTCTTAAAGCAAGTACAATGTGGAACGTGCCAAACCTGTCGCTTTTCACGAAGTGCAGAGGCAGTGAGTGTATCCGGCCGTGGACGCGTGAATGATGTGATTGGAACACCGATTTATTCAAACTCAATCACTGTGTCTTGATCCAGGCTTTAATCTGACATTGTATTTATAATATAGCAGCAGACAATGGTCGGAATACAGGTAGTCCCATACAGAGATTATTCTCCGAGAAAAATACACAATCACTCCTGCTTCAATTCAAATGATTTGGGAGAACAATCTAAGGAACACACAGTATATACAATTATTCGCTTCCCGTCAGATCCCTGAATGTATCCATGATTTTTGTTTAAATACATACAACGATTTACTCCTCACAAAGATATACAAACTAAAACCGGTACATAGCGATACAATTCAGCAAATGGAGCGCTGGATATCAGTTAAATAGATTGGTGGCAAATGGAGTTTATGAGGGAATGCTGTGTTCTGGCAGAATGAGGATTATAATCTTTCCATCTTTATCCCATTCTCCACCCCCTTAAAACAAGTGAAATAAGCGATTACATAAATTGTACAAAAGTAATTCACGGGCAATGATTAATGCTTATATTAGACACCTAGTACATCACAAACGGGCAATGGGATGTTGCATCTCATTAGCGTTATGCCCTTGGAAGATGTAGCTGTGGAAGAGTGCCGAGGTTAGCTGTAATCACTACCCGATGAATCATCTTCAGACAGAAGCTGGTTTCTCCTGGAGCTCTCGAACCCGATGTTATCCAGGCCCCCGGCCGTGGAGTAGTTCCCGGCCGAGCTGCCATACCCTTTCTTCCCGGTGCTGCGTTCTTCCATTCTGATGGTGTCGTACAGCCCTTTGGGTCCCTCCTCCAGAAGGACGTTTCTCTCGGAGAGCGAGGGTTTCATTTGGCACACGTTTCTGAGCAGCAGGAGGGTGGGCGCGTACAGGACGTTGACACAGCCCATGCCGAGGTTGAGCTGTACAAAGCCCAGAGTGTGGACAATCTGGCCGGCCACAATAGGTCCCAGGGCATAAGCAACCGAATAAGAGATGTCGGCTATGGCATACACACTGCCATACACTGACACATGGCGAACATCTACCAAGAAGGCAAGGGTGGGTAACAGGGCGGTGTCCACTAGCGCTATTCCAAAACACAGGGAGCACAATGGGATGATGAGTTCTTCGAAATTCCTGCAAGCTGGAACCGTACACGAGCTAGCACCGATTATAACCATGCCGATGGCCCCGTAGAACCACTGGTAGTTGGGATATTTAGCAGCAAGTCTAACAGTCAGATATACACCCAGGATGTGCGGGAAAAACGCTGGCAGCCACGTCAGCCCCATTTGCCATTCACTCGCGTTCATTGTCTGCTTCATCCAATTGGATATTGTGGGTTCCAGGAAAGCCAGGGGGATGTTACAGGTAGTCAGGGCCCCGGCCACCACAGCGATGTAAGGGTCGATCATGAGTTTATAGATTGGGCTGCCCTGCGGTATGTTCTCCCGGGTTCTGCCGGTGAAAGGGCTCACCACCGTCAGCAACAAGATCCCATCCAGCAGGGAGACAAACGACAGCACCAGGAAGGGGACGCGCTTGCCCGCGAACTGGTACAGTATCCCTCCGAAAGGGGGCGCCGCTAAACTCCCAAAGGAGATGAACGCTAAGGCGATGCCCAGGGCGCTGCTCCTCTCTGATTCTTCCGTGTACCTGTCCGCGATCATTGCAATGCCCGAGGTGTCTGCAAATGCAGAGCCCAAACCTTGCAGGCTCCTGGCCACGAATAACATGGCGTAACTTTCGCCGAAGGCAAAGGTGAGGGTGGAGAGGAAGATGATGATCAGCCCGATGAACAGAGGGATGTCACAGCCCACACGGTCAATGAAAGTGCCAGTCAACGGGTTGGCGAGTAGCTGCAGAATGGCTTTGGAAGCAAAAAGCACACCGATTTGTATGTCTTCGTTTGCATTGGGGTTTCTGTACAGTATGGCTCGCTGGCTGGAATTCAGAGCTGAGCCATTGGTTCCATTGGAAGCTGAAGTGACATAGACCACTTTGTAAGTTCGGAGAGTTTCCAGGTAGTTCGGTATAATCGGAACAATGACCATGTACAGCATATTGTCTAAGAGCAGCGCAATGCACACTATCACCAGCATGATTCTTCGCTGCCGACGCGGTTCTTGCATCGCTCCGCTTATCTGCTTAGTTCTTTCACCGATCACATCGGAGAATTTCATCACGGCCGCCTTGGCCAGTCCCATGGCCATCTCTGCAGCCATGACTACCCAGTCACAGAGCGGCTTAAAGCAAACTTTGTCCCTCCGGACACCTCCCCAGCCCCTGTCCAACCCTCTTCAGTAACACTGACCCGGGCCCCCTCGCTGTCTCGCGGGCGAAGACCGCGACCGTTACCTCGACATAACGTAGTCTCTGGCTTCACTGTTGATGCACTGATCGGGCAGTCACTTTGTGCAGAAGGGTTCTTGGGGGCATGGTCCCGGCTTGGCCTTTGAGGGAGCTCACAAAGGGGAGAGGGCGCTGTGGGGTGGGGAGGGTCAGCCCAGACGGTGCAGAGATAACTGCTCCGGACTCCTGCCTGCTAACCCCTTCAGCCAGTCCAGCTTTTTAAAACAAAAACAGGAATCCCACAGTGAGAGATTCTAGTGACTTAGTGACAGCAGTTGGATGAAAGGACAATGCGCCCGTGGACTGCTCCCACCTGTAACGTTCAGTCTCGGGAGCTGTTCCTCATTCGAACCGCGTGAATGACATTCTCTCCAGCTCCTCTTCGGGTTTTCTAAAGCTCATGACGTGCCCCTCGCTCTGCCTCCCAGTCTGCTTCCATCCGTACACGCCCCTTATGTTAATGCTCCATCTTTCCCAAATGCAGCGTCCAGACTGCCTCCCCCGTCTCAGTCTCCTGACGAAAGCTGGGGGACTCCGGGAGCTCAGTCAGTCAGTTGTTGCATCAAAGTCCGTCCCCAGCTTTTACTCAGCAGATGTGTTGCTTTGGCGTTTACGCGGGGACTACGAACAACCTCACACAACTCTGGGATAAACAGAAACTATTTCAGAACTAGAATGGAGGGGTGCGGGGAGACAGAAGAAATGTTTGTGAGTAGAATATTGAAGATTGGAGACCACGTGATTTTCTGGATATGTTTCTAATTCTCCCCATTTCCCTCCAGTTTTAGATTTCTTTCGTTGAGAGACACAGCTGTAGAGCAAGTGGGACGTGAACGGGTTGCCCTGGCTTAGAGGTAGGGACTTTACCACTGTGCCACAAGAGCCCTTTTTCACTTGCAGATATTTTCAACTCAACCTGTTGACGGTTGGCATTGCACATCCCCAGAACAGGTGGGATTAGAACCCGAGTTTACTGGCTCAGTGATAGAATCATAGAATTTCTATAGTGTAAGAGCAGGCCATTCGAGTCCACACTGACCCTCTGAAGAGCATCCCACCCAGGCCATCCCTGCTACCCTATCCCTGTAAGCCTGCATTTCCCATGGCTAACCCGCCTAGTATACACATCCCTGGACACTATCGGCAATTTAGCATGGCCAATCCACATTAACCTGCGCATCTTTGGATTCAGAGATAATGACACCACCACTGTGCCACAAGAACCCTGCTAAGACCTGAGATAACAAGGTGTAGAGCTGGATGAACACAGCAGATCAGGCAGCATCAGAGGAGCAGGAAAGCTGACGTTTCGGGCCTGGACCCTTCTTCAGAAAGACCTGTAGTTTTAATGGACCTTGAATTAAATGTGGTTGAAATGATTTATTGCCAATCGCCCACAATTTCATCAAACCCAATAGGTCATTGTTCAGGCAAGCATTTCTTGTCCCCTCTTGTAAGGCTCATTCTATATCGCGGGTAAGTGGAATTCTCAAGATCTCCAACATTGCGAACTGGAAACTGGAGCTCCAGTCACATGATGGAGGGAGCATGACAGTCCAGGTAAAGTGGCTGAGCAGTTAGAACTGCCTTGAGATTTTGATGTAGGGTCACTGGACCCGAAGCGTTAACTCTGATTTCTCCCCACAGATGACGCCAGACCTGCTGAGTTTTCTCAGCAATTCTGTTTTTGTGTTTGAGATCAAGGCTGGGTTCGTAGTGACTGGCTAGCACACATTCTCGGTGTGCTCGACACTGCAATAAAACTGTTCCCGAGATTGCTTTCTGAATTTAAGAAAAGCTTAGTTAATGACCAGTTTCGTTCAGTTTGTGTGGGCTGCGTAATCTGACGGGAGCATGTTCTGAACAACGAACAGACAGGACATCGCTCTCACATCAATGCGATCAAACTGCTATCTGGCATCGTGGAGTTACCTTTAGAACTACGGCGGTATTTTTACATCAACTGTTATCGCACACTTCTGGATTTGAACCATGGCCTTCCAGCTCAGAGGTAGGGACACTACCACTGCGTCACAAGAGACCCCCACCCCACCCCGGTAAAGTTGTTTTATACACATCAGTGGTAGTAATCAGAGATTAAGTATTCTAAACTGTTATATGAATTAAATAGGAAAATCAGCTTGTTTTTAACTGAACCTGTTCAGAGATGTTGTTGCATATCTCTGGAACCAGTAGGATTTGAACTCAGGCCTCGTGGGTCAGAGATAGGGACACTACCACTGCACCACAAGAGCGCCCCCTTCCATCCTTCCACCCTTCCACCCTCGCCCCCCAAAAAAATGTGACGACCGTTCCAGTCCTCATCAGTTCCACTGTCAGTTCTTGACGGCAGCAGTGAGAGGTATTTCCAGACGCCCTGTTATTTAACTAGTCAGTGAGTTTGGTAACAGTGGCGCTGTACAGAATGGTTTGGTTTTTAAAGCTAAGTTTGATTTCACAACGGGGCTGTAGCTGGAACCCTGAATGTGGTGCATAGTTTGAAATCCCGAGGCCACAAAGTTTCACTACAGTCGGGGTTTTGTTTAGAATTAAAAGGGAAATGGTGATTTCTTTTTGTTCCACGGGCAGAAATCTCGATGATGCCAGCAGGAGCCGCTTTAATTGGTTGTCCCAGAGAACTGCGTCCACTACAGTGGCCGAGAGGGATATATCTCTGGCTGCTGGTCCATACTTTATATTAGAATTAGAGGCGTCATTAATTCATTGTGTCAGCATTTTGGGGAGAAAGTAGAACCGAAGATGTAGACTGAAATATCTTCAAACTCTTCCATGCTCCGACTGAAACAATTTACATGTTGCACCTGTAAGAATAAAGTCGCCATAATCTTACTGGACCTGCTCTATCATTAGAAAAAGACACTGGGGGTGGTTTAACCTGAGGACCACCACGCCTCAGGAGAGGGGTGAGACTGAGAAGGAGAGTCCTTCATATAAACCTTAGCCAGTGCAGGAATTGAACTCAAGCTGTTGGCATCTCACTGTGTCACAAACCAGCCGTCCAGCACCTACAGGAAAGATTAAACACTGGAAGATGGTCAAAGCAAACTGGAGCTGACTGACGCACAAATTAGATATCACTACTGGGGAATATATAAATTTGTATACAACGATTCGGGATCAATATACGTACATCAACTTAATAATGTTAATGAACTGTCACGGGGGAAACAGAAAGTGCAGGAGAAACTCAGCAGATCTGGCAGTATCTGTGGAGAAAGAAACAGAGTTGACGTTTCGAGTCCGGTCACCCTACTTCAGAGTTGTATTTTAATTAACAGTGGGAAGTGGCCCTGTACATCCCTGCCGCACCTCGGGGAGACTTGGGAGGGAGATGTTGCAAACCAAAGGTTTGTGAGTTAAAGTGCTAGTCCGGAGATGCGAGCAAACACCCAGGGTGACAGTCCAGGGGACTGGTCAGGAGGACACAGCCTTGTCGAAGTGGCTATCTATTCACCCAAATATTAGATCAGTTCCCCACCCCCCACCCCCAAACTCCCCTTGGAGTGGAGGTAAAAAGAAAACACAGCACTATGTCAGCAAGAGCCGAGGTATTCTCTTCTACCTATCCCGCCTCTGTCCGAGCCAACATGACTCTCCCAACGAACACCGCTACAATAAACGACATGGGCACGAATGCATTGCTGTTGGTGGGATCTTGCTGTCCGGAAATTCCTAATTTCCTAAATTCCAGCAGAGATTACTCTGCAAAGCATATTTAAATGACTGTAATTCAGACATCTGGAAGTCGAGAGCTTTCAAAGTATAGCTTTGTTTTGGTTTTGCAGAAGTGCGTGGAAAAATCAGAGCGAGGCGATTAGAGGCTGAGAGAGTAACTGGAGACGGTGCTCAATCAATGGGACTCTTCAGTCGCGAGATTTACCACTTCAATTACTAGGAGAGACCTCTGATCAGTCACTAAAACTCAAGCATCTTTGGTACGCCAGGTTTTGAATGACGATGAAACTGGGTGCACATCTGAATATTGCCAATTTGGCTGTGTTGTATAATCATGCAAGAATATGGACAGAGACATATTTTAGAAACACAGGAACGCACAGGTAGGATGATACATTTTTAGCAACCACTAATAGGCGAATACAGGAGTGCACACACTCGCAAGGAAAATCACTATAATCACACGAAAACTGAAGTTGCCAGGTAAATATACTGAGCTGGACATTCATTCCCTTTGGAGATGTAGAACCGGAGCTGGCCCACCGTTGTGTTTTTCAGGTGTAATTTGCATTCTGCAGTTTGTTCGGATCAATGTGACCTCAGTTTGCTTTGATTTGCAGCCTGATTCAATAAAAGCACCAATTTATTTGAGTTGTGTATCAATTTTATTCAACGATTATGGCCAATTCACTTTCCAAAGTGGACTTGATTGGCATCACAGCTTGCCAGAATTAAACTAACTGAAAGCGTTTGCATTTTTTGTGGGAACGGCACATCACTCCTGCGGTCACATCAGGCAGGTCAACTCTTTGTGCATAAGTAATTGAAATGTTTCAGGTGCTCATCAAACTGTGTCCTTTCATTGGCAAGAGGGAACGCTTAAAGGACTTGGCATTATGTAAGGCAGGATATGACTCATAATAAATGGATCTCTTTTCCTTAAGCCATTGATAACTGAAGATTCAATTATGCCAAAATGTCTTTTCACATTAATGTTTTGATATAGATGCCCTTCTGTGGCAAGAATTTTCCAAAATATGAGACAAACAATTGGCACAGCTCACCTCATGGTGCAATCATCTTTAAGGTTTCACATCCCAGATGAGATCTGAGTTTCAAATTAGCCCAGGATTACCTGTACCTCAAATCTAACAAGCTGCCAAGTCCCACTACAATG